AGAATATAACCAAAATTTTACAATTGCAATATAGGAAACCATATGGCAGCATTCCCCAGTCTTATGCTCTCCAGAGTTATTAGATTTCAATTTCCTGAAACCTTGGCTTCCATAGTTCAGTGGATGGGCAAGAAATAAAGGCAAGGGTAAACAGGAAGGTATGTATATAATTAGAAATTATAAAGTTCAGGTTGCATTTAAGAGTCCGCAGATATGTGCAATATATGCTACAAACCCACAAATCTGCATAGCTCTAATTACAATCCTATGCCGAGCAAATCACATTGAATTCAGTTCAGAATTGTTTATATTCTTACATGCCTTTAAAGTGAAACGGGATAAATTCATGGCTCTTAAAACCATTAGTGGGTACTAGTCAGGCTGTTACTCTCTATATTATTACCTCCAGTGTTACTTCTGCCAAAAAAAAATAGCCATATGGTTCAGAGAAGCTCTTGATTTGATCCCATATGATTGTATCCATTTCTTATGAATGCATATGATTTTCCTAATACACTAGGCACACTGGGTAGAATGGAGGAACCTGTTCCAAAGACTTCACATAACCTGGAGAGATTTCTCCAACTACCATATAAAAATAATAAATAGGTACCACCACGGGTGTCTAGTCGCGCCGGCCACGTGTCCATGGAAACAGTCTACGGACAAACGGTGGCTTTATGGCTTGGAGATGGGCATGAGCATCGTGCCCTAGAATGGGACACGATTGGACTCAATGTCAAGGGGAACGCCCTAGCGTCGGACACGACTGGACTCAATGTCAAGGGGAACCTTTACCTTGGTTTTGTGGGCTACAGTCCACAAAACGTTGTGCCCAATAAAATAGAGCTCTTAAAGATAATGTATAACTTTGTTAGTCTGTGCAAGCCTATCAGGCAAAATCCAAAGAAACAAAACAATGTGCAATACAGGAATGTTTTTCCAGGATGTATCTGAGCTTGAGAGGGGAAAAGTGATTTTTTTCAATGCATAAAGTGGCATATTCAGGGAGGAGGACGAGAAACATACTTCCAAATAACTACAACAACGAAGCTTTGCACGACTGCTCCTAAGCAGCTGCCATATAGACAGCAAAACAAATGACGTCCAGCCCGTTGAGCTCACACCCAAATTGGAAAAAGCGCATGCGCTCCCACGTTCTTCAACACGAGACGTCAAACCTTGGGACGCATGCGTACTTCTGCTGGCTGGACACCAAAATAACAGAGGCGGCTGCTATACAGAAGGCAACCAATGCGCATGAGCACAGGTGGGTTTTTTCCTCCCTCCCTTCGTTGTGTAGAGCGCTAGCTAGACGTTAGCTTGCGCGCCTGCGCAGAACCTCTCGCCTCTTTCGGCCTGCCATCATCCGGGTTCCTAAACCGGATTTGGGTTTTGTTTACTTTTGTGGCGAGGAGGCGGAGCCGGCTGAAGGAAACTGGCCGAGGGAGGCGGTCGGGACGCGGCTTCCCGCTTCGAGCAGGTTTTTTACCCCCGTGAGGCCGCCGGAGGGGCGGGGTGAGTGGGACGCCATGCCGCGGGGCAGGGTCCGGGTGGAGGCCGCATCATCCGGGTTCCTAAACCGGATTTGGGTTTTGTTTACTTTTGTGGCGAGGAGGCGGAGCCGGCTGAAGGAAACTGGCCGAGGGAGGCGGTCGGGACGCGGCTTCCCGCTTCGAGCAGGTTTTTTACCCCCGTGAGGCCGCCGGAGGGGCGGGGTGAGTGGGACGCCATGCCGCGGGGCAGGGTCCGGGTGGAGGCCGGCCGTGAGGGGAGGGGCTCCTCAAGGAGAAAGGCAGGGTAAAAAGATTGCAAACAAATAAATAAAACTCACTAAGTAACAGGGGGACCTATTGGTTCATGTGTGCCAAAAATTAAAATCCCTAGCTGCTGGTTTTTGCCATATCCCCCCCCCAACCATCATCCCAAAAGAGAAGCTGCAAAAAAACTTGCCTGGTTTGCAGCCTTGATGGTGGTACCCAAGGTTGAGAAGAGGGCAAGAAGGAGCGGTTCCAGGTGGAGGAGGGCCCGATTCTGCTCTCCCAGGTAGAGACACTGCAAGGAAAATGCCCTTGAACCTCGGGTGTGTCAGCAAGAGAGAAGAAGAAAGAAGAAGATAGGCAAAATATTGTTACACTTTGTATTTTATTGTTTGATTTTATATTGGAAGCCGCCTAGAGTGGTCCATTGGTCCAGATAGGCGTGGTATAAATCAAATAAATAAATCAAATAAATAAATAAATAGACCGACAGGTTCATTTCAGTGTGAGCCTTTGTGGGTCAGAAATCCATTTTTTTCAATTTTACTGACCAATAAATAAATAGACCGACAAATTCATTTCAGTGTGAGCCTTTGTGGGTCAGAAATCCATTTTTTTCAATTTTACTGACCTCTGGTACAGCGTGTTTCTCAGTAAAATAGATGATGCCGGTAGGATCCAGCCTGATCCTAATGGAGTCTCGAGTTCAATGGTATTTCCCTGGTAGGAGGTGTGTTGAGGGATGCATCCCAAGTGGGGCATTGCGTTGAACCATCTGTAGGCCGCCTAGTTGGTTCTGTTCTTCTTCTGGAGTGTGGGTGGCACAGGGACAACTGAGGTAAAATACAGATGTGGGGGGGGGTTGGCCAGGGATAAATGGTAATACCACTTTAGATTGTATTACTTGAAAGCAACTCCCACTGCGCTGAGTGGATCTGACTTCTGAGTTTGCACAGAATTTCCTAGTGTGTGCTTGCTTTTCAGTGAACTCTGTCCAAGTTAATTTATTTATTTATTTATTTAATTTATATGCCGCCCACTCTACCCAAAGGTCTCTGGGCGGCTTACAACAATTCAAATTCAATACAATAAAATATAAAATGATTAAAATACAATTAAAATACAATTAAAATTGCCATCATCAAGATTGTATTTAATTGTATTTATTTCCAAGCAACACCGGGCTGGAAGAGCTTTATTGTATAAGATGTGGGGAAATATTGACCAGGGGTCTTATAAGGAAGGAGCTCTGTGAGGAATACCTGTAGTCTTTTCACATCCACATAGGGTTTTTTCCTTTGTTTTTATTTATGTATATAAACATAATACAGTACTTACACGCATACTCGGTCCATCTTGTTTCTACGTAACAATTTTTGAAATCAGTGACTGAAGTTAATACTTTAAAAACCATACACTTAAAAGCAGAGAAAGAAAAATGAAACTCATTTTTTTTGCTAGGTTTTTCAAAGTACTGAAATATGTCTGGGTTCCTTGAAAACATGAGATGCTCAGAATGTGTTGATTGGGGTGAAAAGCGAAATACAATTGCTTCAATTGCTGCTGGGGTCCTGGTAAGTATTTTTTTTAACTCTCTTGTTCACACTTCTCATCTCTAAATTGCTTTCTTATCTTTGATGCTCATAAGTTGGTTTAAAGCTGCTGCGTCTGTAATAGTTTCACAATATTTTTATCCTGTAAACGTATGCATGTTTAAAATCTCTTTAGCTTAATTTAATGGAATAGTTCTTTGCTGAAAGAGTGTTGCATTTCAATTAACTGTGTTTGTTGCAGCAAAGCAAACAGTCTTCTGTGGCACCAAGTACTGTACTGTACAATTTTTTATCATAGCATAAACTCTTGTGGATTAGAGTCTATTTTGTTAGATGCATGAAGTGTAACCATTTGGGAGATTTATAGGTAGCCTTGTATACAAAAAGAGATTGTAGAAAGTGTGGATTTTATTAACTGTTTCCCTATGAGTGGGAAACTTGGGCCTTGCAGATGCTGGTCTGAGTTCTCCCAAATGTGAGTGCAAGATTACAGTACAATATTCACCACAGTAGTAATTGGTGATGGTAGGATTTTTGTAGTTATGCCATGCAAATTTTCCTTTTATTGTTTAAAGGAATCCAATACTTCCACATTAAATTTGCTAGGAAATTCTAATTCAGCAGTTTTACACTGAAGCTTCTCTTTTGAAGTGTTTATGCTGAAGTATTGTTACTTGAGGTCAGCAGCAAGGGGGTACTTGACAATGGGAATGTTCCACTAGATCCTGAAGGTAGTATTTTGGAAATGTTTGTTAGAGCTGTGATGATAGTGTGCATCAGCATTGTATTGAGGATCATATTGAAAACTCTTGTGCTAATACAGTTTTTTACAGGATGGTGGATTATCATAGATGCAGCGGTGAAATACCCAGATGCAAAACAGTTCAATCATTCATATCATGCCTGTGGAGTTATAGCTACGGTTGCATTCTTAATGTAGGTATCCTACTCCAGCATTACAATGTTATTTTAAAATTTGTTTTTAAAATGTGAATGAAAATGTGTAAGCTGATAGATCAAGGCTATCTGCTGATCTTTGCTTTGAATAATAAAATGAATTCATTATTTATGTCACACGGCTTATAAACTACAAATGCAGGGCCTAGGCTAAAGTTTAAAAGTACTTTGGCTATGTTGACATAAGGTGATTATTGTCATCTGATTATAGGTGTGTTTACTCAGAAGTCACTCTAAGTTCAGCGGACCGTGTTCCAAGTAAGCAAGCTTAGGAGTGTTGACCAGCTGTTTTATTTGGCTTAGGAGAATCCATATTTGTCCTTAAATAATTTTCATAATTTAAAACTCTTCTTCTGTATGGGAACTTTTCACACCTTTCAAGAGAACGTAGGATAGCTATGTACTGAAAATGAAAACAGATGCCTGTTAACAGAAGTCATGTCCATACAGAACGTCCAGCCATGCTTTAAGATCATTTTATATATCCCAGAATATCACATCTTCAGTCTGCTTGTAGTAAGAGACATGTTCTAGTCACGTGACCTGAATGTCCTTCAACATGCAAAATGGTTTGGTCTCCATGTTTGCAGATGCATTGTTGGGGTAGGAATCTCTGCTAGCTATGAACAGTTTATGTGCTAACTTCAAATGGTAGGAATGTAAAGTTTTTAAGTCTGTATGATGTTTGTACCATTTGTAATTCTTTTGACTGTGCATTGAAATATAGGTATATGAGTGAGTAACAAAAGCAGCATTTCATTTCTGATTGAGTTCCAGTCCATTGACAACAATACTTTTTTTTTGTCTCTGTTCTGATTGTGGAGTAGTTTTCATTGCTTTTTTAAAGAGCTGACCTTAGATTTATCACAGGAAAAGGATAAATAATTCCAGCTTTAAGTATTTCACAGTGAGCTTGGCATAGCATGGCAATGAGAGACCATGCCACATATACGTTTGTGTTTCTGCCAAGAATTTGCACAGGGATATTAGATAAGATGTTTTCATAGATGCACCCGCACATGCATGCGGACCTCCTGTCAGCTATGTTGGGATAATATGGCTCTTTCTTTCAGTGGGGTAAAGATTAGAGTAAGGGCAAGAAGCCCTTGCAACACTCAGCAGAACTGGGCAGATGCCCATTACCTAAGTGTGCTGAACTGTTTTCTTTGTGTAGGATCAATGCTGTCTCCAATGGACAGGTGCGTGGGGACAGTTACAGTGAAGGCTGCCTTGGGCAAACAGGTAATCTTAATGATTGAAAGTTGCTGCCTTTTGTTCCATTCAGCTTATGACTCACCACAGTGAGCCTTAAGTGAAGCAATTTCATTTCCACTGTCCTTTTAAACCCTTTCCTTCATATGCTGCTCTGGTGTAACCTGATTTTCCCCTGCCTCCCAGGTCTTTCCTTTTATTGTTAGTGATGTAGATAAACCATTGTTTCTGACTCTGCTGTATTATTATTTGCCCTCTGTGTTTATGCAGAGTTATGTACTTTTTCATAGTTGGCTACTCCTATGAAAATCCATGCAAAGACAACTTTAAAAAAATTGCAGAGGCCTGTATACTCTGAACGCACCCGTTCAGGTTAGAGATGGGGACAACAAACCACCAGTTCGGTTTGTCCAAACAGGTGTTTGGCATTTCTGAGCCCTGCCTCCTCTGGAAGGTGCCCATATCTAGTTCAGGTACCTTTTTTAACTATAAAAGAGGTGAATAGGATAAGTAGAGTTCTTTATTTTACAAATAAGCAAGTCAACGTGTGAGACTTAAATGAGAGACCTTTGGCCCTGCAGGCCAACCCCAATCAGAATCAAAGCAGATGTGAGATTGTGGGACCTTCAGCTTAAAATATACAGCAGGTCAAAACAAAAGAGTGATTGTCAGACTCCACTGAGAAAATCAGTCTGTGTACAGATACAACTTGGATATTTCACATCCACTGCTGTAATTTCCCTCACACAGCTTGAAGCTAGCTCCTCTCCTTTTTAGCACTCAACACCCCACCTCTTGTTGGAAAGCATACTGGTTGATTCTGCCCCCTTGTCTCGCTTTTCTCTCCTACACTTCAAGCTGTCTGCTTTTTTTTTAAATTGAAGCATAATTCTGTCACTGGGTTGCTCATTTGACACCTTGTTTCTAGGTTATAGAAAATCACAGTTGTAAGGAAAGCTCTATGGAGCATGGGAGAGAAATTCACTTAGTGATATCACACTTATAATGGCTGGCTAAATAGGAGGAGCAGTTGTTCTCAGAAAAAAAATGTGTCTATGTACAAACTGCAGGGAGTTTCCCAGTAAGCTTACAACTCAAAATATTGGGTCTTTATGGAGTTTCTCCAGTTAGCAGGGGTTTGAACTTAAATCACCCTGGCCCCTACATGCGCTCAGCGGTACCAGCCTCTCAGAAATGGATAAGGATGGCAGTAATTAGTAAATATTTGCTTCACAAGTGTGTTGAAGAATATGATGTATCTAGTTTGTATGTCTTTTAAAACTGTATTATAAGAATGTTCAGCCGTGCAAAAGGCATACAGTCTTGCCAATGCACAGAGCATTTATTAAGCTTTAGTGGGAGAAATGTGTGTGCCTTATTCTGCGACCAGCAGCAAATGAAAAACGGTACTGCTTATTTTTAAAAAAAATGAAAATATTCTGTTTTTAAGGTGCTCGTATCTGGCTGTTCATTGGCTTCATGCTGGCATTTGGATCCCTGATTGCTTCCATGTGGGTCCTCTTTGGAGGCTATGTGATCAACGGTAAGGTAATGGTTTGGGACAATCATGAGTCTGAATGTATTAGCGCAAAAGTAGTCATCGTCAAGAAACAGAGCTTGGAAAAGGTACTTCTTTGGTCTCCTATTCCCAGAACTCTCCAGGCAGCGTAGCAAACTGACCATGCTGGCTGGAGGGTTCTGCAAGTAGTAGCTCAAAAAAGAGTTAAGTTTTCCAAGTTCTGCTTCTACATGTTGTTGAATGGAACCACTGACCAGCTTTGGCCAAGATAGGCAGACATGAGAGAGATTACGTCTAGCAACATCTAGAGAACCACATGCCACCCACTGTTATCTTTGCATGTGAATATACACATTAGACTGTAAACCTCTTAGGGAAAGGGCCCTGTCTTTTGCTCATGAAGCCCTTATAAAATTGCCATGTACAGTTGTGGTGGTGGTAGGTTGTCAAGTCAATTTTAATAGTGACCGTTTTTGGGATTTCCTAGGTAGACAGCTTAGGAGTGGTTTACCATTCTCTTCTTCTGGGGAGGGGGTGGCAATCTGGAACTGCAGCTTGCCCAAGGCTACACAGGCTAGCTCTTCTCCCTGGGTGAGGCACAATGGGGGAATCAGACTCCCAACCTCTGGCTCTGTAGCCAGATACCTAAACCACTGAGTTATCCAGCTAGGATGTACCTTAACAGCACTGCAAAAATAATGTAGAATGCCATATATGTTGTTATTTTCTCCAGAAAATGAGCCTGAGGCATTTCTTCCCAGATGCCAAACTATGTTTGACACAGTGCCATATTCCTTTTTTTCCTTTCTCTCCCTACCAACCTCTGTTTTTATTTGCAAAGAGCTCTGTTCTAAAGTCTTACGATGCAGCATGCTTGCTGTAGCTAGAGAGGTTTGATTCTTGGTAACTCTTGGATGGGAAACAACTGTGAATGCTTTTCTTTGTATACCACTTTCTACATAAATCTAGTATGCCTAAAGTTATGATTCAGTACGAATTTAGTGGGGGTAGGGATAAGCCTGTGGGATTTATTTAATGTGCCTCATGTCCAGGTATCCAATTTTCAGTGCTTTCATCTCTAGGTTTACTCAGAAATACAACCACTGTATTTTATTCCTGAGTAAGCTAATTTTGGATTCCAGTGTCAAGGCCAGGACTTGAAAACTTAGGAGGCAGCTGAATTCTGTTTGTTCAGCTTGGGCATTTTTGCTTTGTCTAGAATTTTGATTTGGCTGTGGCCTGTTTTCTTTGGCCGTTTAAACATGGAGTGTATTATTAAATAGATTGTTCTAATCAATATTATGATTGTTGTGTTGTAACAGTGAACTACTTTGAAAACCATTATCAGAGAAAAGCTATGAAAGATTCTTATTGGAATTAAAAAAAAGTAGACTCTGCTTGCTAGACTCTGATGGAAGTGACATTATCAGAAGCCATCTGGCAGCAATATGTAAATTTTAAGAATTTAGCCAGGTATTTATTAGGGGGAGGAGAAGAACTGACATCTAGAAATTGGGTTGAAGCTTTTCTACCCTTTTCAGACAAACCAGAAAAACTAGCAATCTACCCAGGAATAGCAGTCTTCTTTCAAAATGCTTTCATATTTTTTGGGTAAGTATGCTTTGGTTTCTTAATTTTTATTTATTTATTTATTTTTGTTCATTTTTTTTGGGTAAGTATGCTTTGCTTTCTTCATTTCTTCTTTTTTCCCCCATTTTAAATATAACGTGTATGAATGTTTGGTAGGGCCTACCAAGATTGTTGGAGATGGTGGGTAACTTGTTAATAATCAAGGACAAAAGTAAGTGGTGAAAATGAAACAGGTACAGAGTACTTTTATCGGGTTATGCGTGGGAGTGATAACTGTAAGCCATAAAAATGTCAAGATGTTTTTAGAAAAATTAACGTTTCCCGTTTTAAATATAATGTGTACGAATGTTTGGTAGGGCCTACCAAGATTGTTGGAGATGGTGGGTAACTTGTTAATAATCAAGGACAAAAGTAAGTGGTGAAAATGAAACAGGTACAGAGTACTTTTATCGGGTTATGCGTGGGAGTGATAACTGTAAGCCATAAAAATGTCAAGATGTTTTTAGAAAAATTAACGTTTCTGTTTGCATAAATGGCTGATTTGTATCTACCAAATTATTATCACATAAATCAAATAAGTCACAACTTACAAAATAAAAACCAATAGTAAACCACACCCCAAAAAGGCAAAAGGAGCATAAAATAAGGAAAAGTAACAATAGAGTCTCTTGAAATAAGAAAATCTCTTAAGGTGCAGGTCCATTCTACAAACAACTTTCATTTGTGCCAACATTATAAATAACTGACAGAGCTTTGTGAGCTGATTTTGAGCTTAAATAAAGCTGTTGCTTTATTTATCTCTACGGTATATCTAAATTCAGATTTACTTGCAAGCTGTTGCATTTGTAAACCATGACAAGAAAAAAACATGTGTGGTGATATCAATATAACACAATAGAACAGTTCAGAACTACTACAAGATTGTTTAAAATAGTCCTGCAAAAAGTCATGTTGATGCATGCAAATAACTTTTAGACTATTAAGCCATAAAGGTGATTTGAACTTGTCATAAGTGACATAGACTGAAATGCTAAATCTCTAAATGCCAAAAGTGAGGTCTTTGCATTCCAGAAAAATCTGCCCCCACCTTCCTGTTTAATATGCTAAGACCTGGCTGGGCATTCATTTAGCGCCAGACATTCAATCCATTGAGGACTTAAGGCTTTTCCTTTTACCACCACTTCTGTGTTTTACTATTTGATTAAAAGTAGTATAGCCACCCTAAACCATGAGAAAGACCGAGGCTCTGTGGAGGGAAAAGGGTTTTAATTGTTGTCTAAAATATGTGTCTGATGTACCTTTTGCAAAATACGAAGATATCTCGAAGATACTTTCCTGTAAGCCAGTCCAGCTACTCCTGGGACCAAAAAGGGAAAGCAGGTTAACTTTTCAATTTTTGCCTGATGGTTACAGGATAATATTTTCAGAGAATTTGCTCTGTTCTTCTATGTGACAGCCTTAATATTTGTTCTCTTTTGTTAACAGAGGCTTGGTCTTTAAGTTTGGTCGCACAGAAGATTTGTGGCAATAAGTGACCGTGCATCTATCCTGCTGTTTTTAACTGCCCACTCCCATTTTGTAACATTTGTGCTCTGGTATCAGTGAAGATGAAGGTTGTCTACCCATTAAAATCATGAAACATTTCCCCTTTTTATCACTCTGGCTGTTTTCTACTTCTAGCTTCTGACATTAAGTATTGTAGCATGTGACTAAGATATATAATTGAGAAGGGGGACCCTATAAAAGTCTCCTTTCACCAAATGTTTTTGATATAATAAATATTAAACAATGTCAGTGTTCCTTTTAGAACTCTTGTGTATGTAGTTTGTCTTCACACTATAATTGCTATTTTTGCATATGAACGTAAGTGACTGATGGTGTGTGCAGTCTTAATGAAAGTGTGCATAAAGCATAATAGAGGGTGGTGTCATGATATTTTCCAGATTCTATAATGTAGCACAGCCTTCCCTTCATATATAATAGGTTACAACATATTAAGGTGATAACGAGGTTTGTAATCCATACATCCGGAGGTATCTGATTAAGAAAGGCTCATGTAGAGGGATAGTGAGCCTTTCAACTATTTGTGGGGTTCTGTGCAATTTTCAAGTTCCTTAGTGTGAGACCAGTAGGTGGAGCACCATTGAGAATGGCTGCCTTAGAGGAAAAAAAGAGGGACAACAAGCTTTCTTAAAGCAAGCAGTAAAATTTATTTAGCCATGCAAACAATTTAACAAAAAAGTTAATTCAGAACTTCCTGCAGATAAACAGACAATAAGTCTCACTTCTGAACATTCTTCTGGCTTGCTTTACTCTTGATGTGTTTAGTATCCGACAGCTAAATGAGGGAACTAGGAACAAGGAATATTGTTACATGAGAAAACCAGCAGAAAACATCAGCAAAAGTCTTGTTTGCTTTTTCTGTGGAGCGCTTGATCTTTTAATACTCTATTCCTAAATGTGTTTACTTAGAGGAGACCCTGCTTGGTTTCAGTGCAACTCGTAAATAAATGACTTACAGGACTTGAAGTCTTAAAATAGTTACTGAGGTTGTACTGAAATCCCTGTCTATGGATAAAAATAGAAGTTTATACAAATTATCTATAGGACTGAGAATTCTTTGGAATGGATCCCAAGGGCGTAATTGTTTTAGAACAAAACAGTGAACAAATATGAAATTTCTGCTAAGAATTATGGATATTGTAGTCTAATGAGGGTGCTGCCTATTTTCTTGGAGATCTCTGGATACATAAGGCTATAATTTCTAAGGCCCCTTATGGAGATTTCATGAATGTTAAACCAAATTGAGTCTATGACAGGGAAACTCTCGTTCACCCTCTGCTTGGTTCTTGTTATGCTTTTTCTTCTGAGGTTATTTCTCTGCTACTATTAGGAGGATGTGAGCAACAAAGACAAACCCATTGGCCCGCTTTTCCTTGTGTATCCACTCTGAATTTCTACCAATGTGTAGAAACAAAAGACCTCAAGGGCTCTTCATTGAAATGTTGACCTAACAGTTCCTAATCTGAATAAGGACAGAAAGCTAATGTATCATTGACACTTACACCCCAATAAGCTTGATCATCAAAATAGTTTGTTGCATGAGGTTCTTTCCATAATTTCAATCTCAGGGAGAAACCTAAGAAAAATAAGGGTTTTTTTAAAATGCATATTGAAAACATTGGAGGTACACTTTCATATAATTGCCAGTTTTTAAAATATAAGAGATGGCACTCAGACAGAAATGGAAAAATACACTATGAAACAAAAACTATTAAAACTAGAAACATGGACTAGTACAGTATGATATTGTCTTAAACACGGAGCAGAAAGGCATTTGTATAAGCGTCCCCACAGCCGCTCCAGTAATCTCCCCATCACACCACCCGTTGTACAACCAGTAGAAGAATGACCATGTGCAGGGGAATCGCTGTCCCGTGTAATCACTTGCATGAACTCATTTGGCAGGAAAGGGACACTTGGAGCAGAGCTTCTGAATAACTTATCATTTACGAAGATATATATGGGAGAAGGAGGCTGGCTGGATAGCTGAGTGGTTTAGGTATCTGGCTGCAGAGCCAGAAGTTGATAGTTCAGTTCCCCACTGGGCCTCCCGGAAGAAGAGCCAGCCTGGGTGGCCTTGGGCAAGCTGCACAGTCCCAGGACATCCCAAGAAGAAGGGAATAGTAAACCACTTCTAAGTATTCCCTACCTGGAAAACCCTGGAAAGGGTTGTCATTAAGTCAGAACTGACCTGATGGCCCATGATTATTATTACAAAGGAGATCAATTAATTAATTCATTAATTAATTAATTAATTAATATGTCACTTTTCTCCCAATTAGGGGATAATTATTGTAAGATACTTAAATTCAGGGGTTAAAATCAGAACTCTAAATTGAGTCAGAAAAGATACTGGAAGTCAGGGCACGCTAACAAAGCTGAGGCATAATGCAGTCAAAAAAGATCAGTCCCACTTGACAATCATACTATTTATGACTGACAACCAGTTTCTGAACCATTTTCTGAACATTCAGCAGGTAGCCAAAGTTTACATCGGAAGTAACCCATTTAAAAAGTGCAGCCAAGCTTTGTGCTGCCACATGAGCACATGGCTAGTTTATGATCGAAAACGGGTGAAAAGCATTTCGGGCCACAGAATCTCCTAGTGACAATGCTAGATCTGTACATCTTCTCAATCATAAATCTGAGGAGACCTGTGGCCCGTTTTTTGGGCTGGGGAGTTAATTTGACTCCCCCCCCCACAACCCACCTAAAGCTGTACCCATACAAAAAGAAAAGTAGTGTCTGCAGATTCATCCTACACAGGAAATCGTGAATGATCTATGTAATACAGACCTGTAAGGAGACCTCCAGTCAGACCTAAGGCCATACTCAGGCAGAGGGCACCACCTTCGATCAAGGCCGAATAACCACCTCTGAAATTCGCCACAACAAACATTCACATTGGTCACCAACCAGCAAAACTGTGATGCAGAAATCTACCAAAACAACTGCTGTTGTTAAATTCCAGACAGATTTCTCATTTTATACTGTGCATGTGTCTGTAATATATTGCCTGTTTATCCAACAATTATATTCTTTTTGTTTCTTTTCGGCCAGAGTGGGCAACCTTTGGCCTTCCAGATGTTTTGGACTACAAGAACCATCATTCCTGACGACTGGCCTTTGCTGCCTGGGTTTCTGAGAGAAGGGCCCAAGGGCCCCAGCCCCTGTCCCAAGCTTTACCACCTGAGTCAATAGTTTTCAAGAACTCTGGCCAGTATCTTGTTAAGTATTCTACATGTGCAGCCATCGGCATCTTTTGATGCTGTGGTGGCAATCTCATGATGTGCTAATCACATGACCAGGCGCACGCCCAGAGCCTGGCTAAATCACCCTGGCAGCTGCTGCAGTTGAAATTCTGCACTGAATAGGAAATCTAGACCAAGGATATTGGTCTTCTCATTTAACGTCGCTTATTATTTCCTAGGTGGTTTCATTTCTCACCCTGCTTTCCTCCAGGGAGCACATAGGGCGCTCTCTCCTGAACACTTTATCCTCAGAACGACCCTGTGAGATAGGACAGGTGGAGAGAGCATGGCTAGCCCACGTCCCTGTGTGAACTTCATGACCCAAGTGTGGATTTCCTCCCAAGTTTCCTGAGCCCTCGTCCGACACTCTAATTACTGCACAATATTGGGCCCTTTTCCATACCAGGTCGTCTTCCGAAGAGACCAATGTTTGTCTGCTCTTCCTGGCCTTTAGACTGAAGAACTTCTCCTAAGCTTCTAAGGCAAAGGCTCCCAACCGTGGGCAACTCAGGTGTTCTTGCGCTGCAACTCCCAGATGCCTCACCACCAGCTGTGCTGGCCAGGGTTTCCAGGTGTTCTTGCGCTGCAACTCCCAGACGCCTCACGTTCAAGAATCTCTGGGTTACTCAAGGTTAAGAACTACGGCTCTAAGGAATTTCAAGAATCTCTGGGTTACCCAAGGTTAAGAACTACGGCTCTAAGGAATTTTGGGGCTTTCCAGAATAGAGCCAGCTACAGCTTCAAGGGGTTGGCTCAACAAAATTTGACTAAACCCCTTTCCCTATATTGCTTGACCCCAGGCCAAAGACTTACGCCATCTGAAAGCCACTGAGCTAATCTATGCTCGTGTGGTAGAACATTTGAGCCACTGTTCCATCCAAAATGGGAGGGGGAAAAGTCAGGCGGTCAGATATGTGCCTATCAAAGTCAAGAGAGTTGTTAACGGATCCAGAATGCCTCCTGCCTATCGAGGGTGATGTGCTGGCAGATTTCCAGCAGGGGCTGAGCTAGATAACCTTTGTGATCCCTTCCACCTTTATGATTCCATGGCCACGATCCATGAAGTGCAGCCTTCTGGATGTTGCTGAACAACCACCTCCATCACCTTGAGCCATTATAGCTAGTGGTGAAGAATAGTTGGCAGCTGCAGACCAGCAACATCTCTAGACAGTTACTTTAGGCCAGTCCTATTTTATAGAATATACCAATAATAAGAAGAGACAGGCTCAACATACACGGACAGGTTCTCCCGGGAGTCTATTGCGATCCAAACAATGTGGACGATCCCTCCAAGTAAGCTGGGCAAGCCAAACGTATATTGAACTCCGCAGGTATCATGAAGCCTGACTGCTGGCTCAAGACATTTCTGGGTTTGGTGGGGAGGAAGATGCAAAAAAGGAGGAAAAAAATTAGTATTTAGATTACAAAGCAAGAATTGCAAACTGTCATTTGGAGATGGCTATGCAGGACTGAAGCCACCAACATGAATTTGACCCAACTCCGGGAGGCAGTGGAAGACAGGAGGGCCTGGCGTGCTCTGGTCCATGGGGTCACGAAGAGTCAGACATGACTAAACGACTCAACAACAACAACATGCAGCCACAGAGATGAGAAAATCTCTCTCTCTCCACCATGTCGAAGACCACAACACATCAGTGATTGGAATGGGGAAGGATTTTGCTTCACTTTGCTTTTGTTAAAACTTTTATCAAAAATCTGAAGTACTGTCAGGCTCCGGAGGGAAAGAATTTCATTTCCAAAAATTGGAATGTACAACAAATTAAAACAGATAGCTCTTTGACTGCTTGGTTTTGCACCCCTTTGTATATTTACCCATGCTGGAGGTCTATTATGCTTGCCACCTCCCCGCACCTGAGAAAATTCATTTTTAACAAATGAAGCTAAGAAAAGGTGCATCAGTTGGATTTGCTCAGTGCAGAAGGGGACAGCATTTCACTTTTGTTTTGAAGAATTTACTATAATTCTACAAATATCCTTTTATTCAAGACCGAAAGGTTTGCAGTTTAAACTTGGAATGCAGGGGAAATGAAACTGACAAATTTTTCCAACCTTGCTAAATGGTAAAACATAAGAATTGCAACCAGGCTCAGAGCTTGGGGGTCTTCACAGAAAATGCATTAAGAACAAGGCTGGAAAAGAGTGGCACACACTTTATATGAGCCCAGTGGTGCAGGGGTTAAACTGCAGTATTGCAGTCAAAGCCTCTGCTCACAACCTGAGTTCAATTCTGATGGGTTCAGGTATCCGTCTCAGGCCTTCCATCCTTTCGAGATCAGTCCAATGAGTACCCAGTTCACTGAGGGCCAATGTTGTTGTTTGCATAATGGTGTTGTTATAAATGGCTCAAAGAGTGCTCTAGCCCTATGGGATGGGATATAATTTGAAAACAACATCAGAAACAGATCCAAGACTTCCTGTAAACAAAGCCGTCTGGAATCCTAGTTCTAAACTATCTTAGATGCTCCCCAAAGCATGATCTGTGTTCTTCTCTTTGTCAATGTCCATACATAGAAGGGCTTAACATGGAATCTATTTACCTTTAGAAAAACAAATCCAAGCACGGAGGTTGCCCCAGCCCCGAGACCCACAATCATCGCAATCCAAGGGTAGCGGAGGGTGGACGCTGAGAATCCAAGAGCAACCCCACCGGCCAACGTAGCATTCCGGATGTGGGCCTGCAGAACATAGAAATCAGAGAAGCTAGATGGCAGCGTCGCCGTACGGTCTGGAAAGGACTGTGCGAAGGCCTTTAAAAGGTTGTGTGGTGTGTGTTTTTTAGTACTGTGCCCAGAATCTCCTCAGCAGGTCTGAAAATTAGGTAAATATGACCTCAGATGAACAACAACACATGACATATTATGCCGTGTCATGACCTATTTGACAAAAATAAAGCCAGAATGGGGAAGCCATGTGTGACAAAACAGTCACATGACTATAGGCATGTTTCCAGACTGTATATGTCCATCCTGTACCATGTGTGCCACCACTTAGGTATTGGCACCAGGCATCCACCCTCAGCTGTGTGCCAAGCCTGTCCTTTCAAGGGCATCATCTACCGTATTTTTCGCTCCATAAGACGCACCTTTCCATAAGACGCACCAATTTTTTAGGAGAAGAAAACAGGAAAATATAATCTGTTTTCTTCGCTCCATAAGACGCACAGACTTTCCACCCCCCCTGTTTTGTGGGGGAAAAGTGCGTCTTACGGTGCGAAAAAATACGGTAAGTAGTGTTACCAGTCCCATCTGAGTATTTATAAGCTGGCCACTTCCACTGCCAATCCCTTTTAGTGGGCCAACAAGCACTGTAAACAACCCCCCCACGAATGTGAAACAGCCAAAAGCCAAATAATTTGCCCCAAATACTAGGCCATTGCCTACATTGTCCTACATGCTTTTTCCCCAATTCGCCATTTTGGATCTTGACTATTGCTTGGCTTTGACTTTATCCTTCCCTCTGGTCCCTCGGTTGATTTTCATCTCCTGCCCTAAGGCACAACCCTTATATCAGTTTCCCCCACAACATACCCAAGGAATTATTATGTTCAAAGTTAACTTTGCCACCAACCCATCTCGATGGAGCTTCTGCTTCCATGGACAAGCTCTTTGCAACGCCTTCAGTCTATGTAGGCCAGGAAGACAGCCCACCTCCTGAGACATCCTATGAAGGTCCACAAGCTTCTGTCCCCTCAGGAGAAAAGTCACCTATGTCCACCCCACGTCTCATCCTCTTCTAGAAAATGGCAGAAATCCTTCCCACCCCAAGATTCTCCGCAGCCGCGTCTGTGCTCTCTGCGGTCCCTGCTCTAATAGCTCAAAATCAATGGTCGTTGGCAGGGCCCAAAATCCATTCTGTCACACCAAGGATGTCGTTCGCTTCCTTATCCTCTCCTGCTTCGGTGTCACATCTCCTCAAGTGCTTGCCGCCTCCTCTTGGTCTGCTTTCTCCCCATTCTTACCTCCTCTCTTTTGCTCTTCTAGAAGAGTCTGCTCAGTTTCATCCTGAAACATTTCATTTTTCCTGAGGAGTCCAAGGATGGACCCAACTGGGCCTTAGGCAGCGTTGCCTTCTTGTCTAGTAGGGCAAGCAGCTGGCACTTGCAGAAGGTGTCAGTTTCTACCCCCTCAGGCAGGTAAACCCACATGCCATAGGCTTGTGGGTCACTCTGCAAAAGCTCCGCTGACATCCAACTCTCTTTTCCTAGGCAGATGCTAACGCAGAGTCCTGGCCTACCCCTCCATCTCCCCTCTACATCTCCACAGAAAGCATCCCTATCTGCTCACCCCGTTCATGAGCTCTTGCTCACGGGCTTGCAGGGACTCTGGGTGCAACAGCAAACCTAGTGGTTTCTCAATCATCCTTCTGCACTATTCCCCTCTGTGCATACACACACATTCACACACCAGAGGTGCCTGGGGATTGATCTGTCCTTTAGAGCTAACAATGCCAGTGCAAACTGCCAATTCTGAGGAAGAAGAAGTCTAAGAGGACTGACCCACCAAGATATGGGAAGGGCACAAATAACTCACGAGAAAGTGGCCTGCCCTGCTCTAGATCTCCTCCTCAGTTTACTCTTTCTCTTGTTTATTCATTCTCATCTATAACTAATCAAAAATGTCTACGTTGACCACAACAAGACCTGCGCCCGGGGACTCTTGTCCTTGCGGCACCACCGACGATAAAAAGGCAATAGCAGATGGTGATACAAATTAGGAGGAAGGGTGCATCTGAATCCACTCCGTGTTTTAATCTGTACTTTACAAGAGTTATCCAAGCTCTCTCTCTTTCTCTCTTGTTTATTCATTCTTTCTTCTCATCTATAACTATTTAAAAAAGTCTACGTTGACCACAACAAGACCTGCGCCCGGGGACTCTTGTCCTTGCGGCACCACCGACGATAAAAAGGCAATAGCAGATGGTGATACAAATTAGGAGGAAGGGTGCATCTGAATCCACTCCGTGTTTTAATCTGTACTTTACAAGAGTTATCCAAGATGCTGAAGCATTTTGGGGGAACAAGAGTTCAGCGCTGTGGATAAGCTCCTGAAAGGAGCAGGATAAAACCCAGCATGGATTCACAGCTCCCCAAAACTGCCACCGATGGATGACAGGCATGGCCAATGAAGAGCTTCCAAAGCAAACATCTCTCTTCAGGGTGCAGTAGGACCCCTTTATCCACTGAATCAGTACCCATTGATTAATATTTTCAGACTGTAGATAAGTTAATTTGTTTTAATGTTCAAATATTAAAAGAAAACCCCCCACAAATATATCTTTCCAACCATGAAGTTTCCAGAACTGGCTACTAGAGGGAGCTAAGACCAAGCTCTGGATTCACTCTTAGCATAGAATTCATTATAATCTTTGTTTTTCAGCATCCGCAGGACTTGGAATTGTTCTCCCGCGGATAAGGGGGTCCTACTGTATTTCTAGGAGTTGAAGCCGCCCGAGACCTCTGGGTAGTGTGGGCGGCATATAAATTGAATAAATAAATAAATAAAATAAAGTCCAAGAACATCTGGAGGCCCAAGGTTGGGGACCACTGCTGTAGAGCATTCACTCTTAGTATAGCATTCATTATAATCGGTGTTTTTCAGTATCCGCAGGGCTTGGAATTGTTCTCCCGTGGATAAGGGGGTCCTACTGTATTTAGTACAAGGGAAGAGTCCGACTAAAGGATCAGTGTCACTTACCATGGTGAGCTTTCCATTTCTGTTGGTAGCCACTGAGATTGAAAAGGCAGCCACTGCACTGGCAGCCATCCCAAGGTAAGTGTTGATGAGAGCGGTCAACCTCTTCTCTGTGCTTGCGATTAGAACAGCATTGAAGCTGGGCCAGAACATCCAGAGGAAAAGAGTCCCTGGGAATCCAAGGGAGAAGGAGCCATTATTAGTGCTCTTGTTTTTTTTTATTCCTTCATCCTTGCTGGTTTTATTCACTACCCCTTTCTCCGTTAGAGGATCCATACCTACCAACAAGCGGTCAAGCCAACCTTGTAGATTTTTTTTAGCCCCCGTCTCAAACATGACGAAGAGAGAGGCCACCGTTGTGTCCATCGCAAAAAGTGCTATAAAGCACGCAACCATAGATAACTATGGAACTGCTAAATTGTACCGTTTAACCGAAATGATGGTTTAAAGGTGCACAGAAACCATTGCAAGAGGTTTCCCCATTACAAGCCTCTCTCTGTTTCTTCTAACAAACTTATTTCTAACGTTATCAGCCACATTGTTCTTGAGGCCGACTTGATGACGCTCGCTGATGACTCCTGGCATGAGGAGACGCCTCATGCAAAGGATGGGGGATCCTGAGTGACATCCCATTGTCATCCATCTTCTTGAAAGAAACTTAGAAACAGCTGTCAACTCAACCAGAGAACATTTACTCAGAACGATTTGCACCTTATTTCCACCTCAAGTCTCTATTCTATTAGTCTTCATGTAAAAATTAGCTCCAGTCTTGTCAGTCACCTATGGGTACCCAGGAGTGAGGTTGCCTCCACCCTACCCCGGAGAGGGTTATGTACAAAACTGGCCAGCAGGTGCCATTGACCCTGTTATACACTCTGTGTCATCACAAAGTCGAGCACTCACTTTACAACCTGTGAGTCTTCTCGTTCCCACATGCCCTGGCAGCAGCATGGGAGGATCCGGGAAGAGGCTACCCAAGAGCAGGCGCTCAGGCTTCCACAAGCCTGGAACAGTTCTCCTCAAGAGTTGTGTTGGCTGTAGACAAGGCCACGTGGGACTCAAGGCTGGCAGAGTGTTAGCAACTGCTGCACGTTTTGCCTGCCCGCCTTTTCTTCCTCTTTGCTCTGGGTGGCCACGTGACCTGGTTGGTTGGGTTTCATCCATTTCCCTGGATTCCCCTCATGCCCTTTCCCACAATCCACTGGCCCTCGATCTGTTCTGGCTCCCCTCCCAACCTTGCCTGCCTTGCCTCTCTGACATCACGGGGATCCGCCGTGTGACATCACAAGGGCCCACCCCTTAGTTTCAAGTGTTGGGCCATGAAATCTCAGAGAACAAGATACTGCTGACCTGACATCTACACCCACCTTATTTCTGTACTGTTAGGCTTAACTACTTCAGAAGCTCCAGCTAATTACGATCATTTGTCATCATGTCAATTCCGCGTTATGGTGACCTTTGCCAGGATTCCTAGGTATCAAGTCCTCCAACGTGGTTTACCATGCCCGTCTTCTGTTGGCGCTCTAGGACTGTGCAGTTGCTCAAGGCTTCACAGGCTGGCTCTTTCCCCAGGAGACACAGTGGGGAATCAAACTCCAAATCCCATAAGCCAGATACTCTAACTCAGTGGTCCCCAACCTTGGGCCTCCAGATGTTCTTGGACCACAGTTCCCAGAAGCCTTCGCCACCACTTCTGCTGGCCAAGACTTCTGGGAGTTGAAGTCCAAAGACATCTGGAGGCCCAAGGTTGGGGACCACTGCTCTAATTCATTGAGTTATCCTTCCAGCTCCATACCTTGTCTTGATTTCAAGGCCTGACACTGTATACGTCTATATTTCTCTTCTGCCTGCAGGGGGCTCTTGAGGTCCAAGTGTATACACAATCCCAAAGAGATACGGGCCAAACCAGACACCTCAGTGGCAAGGCCAGGATCTTTCCCAAGGGCAGAGAATGAAAGGAGTAGACACCTGCCTTTAAAGGCAAAAGAAAGGTGAATACAATCCTCCATCTACGGGTTGGCTCCCCACCACGTCTTCCTCCCACCACTTTTCTCTGTAGCTGCAGCTACCGCATCAGAAGTGAATCTGGTTGAGATAACATGCTTACAGTGGGGGCCTACAGAAAGGTGATGATTCACCTTCCTCCAATTTTGAGCAACCTTTTTTGCTTTTAAATTCGATCCCTCTTCCACCCCTTTCTTCATGTCGGGAGCCGTTCACCATTTCAGCATACAAGTCTGCCACGTCCCATCAAAGTCAATCTAGCCTCAAAGTTTCTAGTTCATACTTCAGAATATGGCTTCTGTCTAAAGATAAGGAAGAAATTAATTCAGTCCGAATTCACATGTAAACTCATCCAATTTGCAGGTCCTTAACCAGGAAGTGAATGGAAATCCACATTGACTACTGAAACTTGCATTGTCTGAATTTCTGCGAAGGAGTCAGAAAATGTGTACGACAATGCCTCCGTCAGGGCACAATGTCACCAAGAATGTGTGCATTGGTTACACGTATTACTGACGGCGTGCAAAGGCGAATACAAATTTTCATGCAAACTATAGAAAACAAGAGCAAAAGGGACTTAACGTCTGAATAATGAGAAATTCAGAAGAACCGACGTGGAGGGATCCATCCAGCCCAACGTCCAGCAACGAGTAAGAAGATTTTCTTCACTCCCTTTGAAACATATATAAAAGTTCTGCCTATCAATCATCCACGGTGGGCCAAAACAAGAGTTGGGTCAAGGAGATGTGTAATGGGATCTCCTGTTGCAGTATAAAGTTTGAAAGGGGACAACAGGTGCAGGGTGCTTCTAATTTATGGCAAGTGTACAGCAATGGGCAGGATGATATCTGGATAAACCATAGCAAAAGGGAGACTATCACGTCATCCGCTCGTCGATCAGCAGGTTAACGGAAGCCGTGTTCTGGCTCAGATGATACGCACCCCCAGAAATAAGTGGCCACAGAAATTTATGTATTCTTCCTTCCTCTCTCCATGTGTTCTTGGCGAATGGATTTGCACATTCAGGCGGTTTTGTTATTGCTCTTCTAAATTTGTCGTGGTCAGCTTTACTTTGTAGGGGTGCTGGGGGATTTTTAATGAAAGATATAATTGCTTTTGATTGCAAGTACCTGACGAGTAACAAACAAGCAGGAAAAAAAATGATAAGGGCTTCTTAATGACCTCTCGAGGAATCTGACGAAACAGGCTAACTCAAAACAAAAGCTGGTAATAGAAGCTAGACTGACTTAAAAACTTGGGAGGGGGGAAACACCTTTGGGAGAGACAACTAAAGATGTGGCAAGTCAAAAAGGCTTTGGGCCCCTTCCGGCAGCCACAAGGAAAGCATGTAGACAACTGGTACGACATGTAGCACAGACCACTCACAAGCCTATCGGTTTGAGATAAAGTGTCAAACTAAGACTGAAGAGATCTGGGTTCAAATCACTGTCTGAAGCCTGATTTAAGGTAAGGTTCCACCAGCAATGCAGACAGGGAGACAAACATCAGCCAAGTCCCCATGCTGTCCCGCTGGAACAGCATTAGATCTGGAACCCTGATAAGGTAAAGGTTCCCCTTGACTTTTTTTAGTCCAATTGTGTCCGACTCTAGGGGGCGGTGCTCATCCCCGTTTCCAAGCCGTACAGCCAGCATTTGTCCGAAGACAGTTTCCGTGGTCATGTGGCCAGCACGACTAGACACGGAATGCCGTTACCTTCCCACCGAGGTGGTACCTATTTATCTACTCGCATTTTCACATGCGACAGTGCGGCTAGGTTGGCAGGAGCTGAGACAAGCGACAGGAGCTCACTCCGTCGCTTGGATTTGATCTTATGATGGCTGGTCTTCTGACCTTGCAGACCAGAGGCTTCTGCAGTTTAAATTGCAGTGCCACCACGTCCCTTGGAACCCTGATAAAGCAGGGTTCTAATCCTGACTGTGCAGAGTAATGTTAAGTGCATTTTGTGAACATGCTTACAATCTCGGCTGCGGACCTTCATGCAAAACATGCAAAGGCCTGAGAGTCTTCTGGGTGGACTGGGTGGAGATCCAGGGCGTCGGGCGTAGGTGTGATCCCTTCTTTCCCAACACCCAGTCAACCCTACTTAGATTCAGACTGAACACCTAAATTTGGCTAAGATCTCAAGCATCATATCCTGCCCCTTCTTGGTCTTTGTCATAGGAATAAAATATCGTGGTTGGTCTAAGTGAAAAGTGTTGCAAAATTTTGAATTGCTAGTCAAATTTCCTTTTGCTTCGTGGTAGAAATACAGAGACACACAGAGGTGAATAACTATAAATCCACCCCTTTCTCATTAACACACACTTAAGGTCTCAGTAACTCACTCTGAGACCTTTGGAGAAGAAAGAATAAAAATGTTCCATCACTTACAGTTATAAACAGATCAACAGCAAACAAACTGCTTCCAACAGACTAAAGAAAGGGAAAGGAACACTCAGCAGAGAGGCGGGGCTCTCCTTGAATTCAGAGGTGGGAAGAAACGATTGGTTAGTGCGGGATAGACTGACAGTCACCCCAGCCCAGGAAAGTCCCTCCTGGCCACACAAACCACAGACTTTATATGAGGTTGTAAAAGTTCCAACAGAAAGGGCCAGATCCTCAGCAGAAGAGGCACTGGGGTTTAATGGTTAGAGTGCTTGCCAAGGCTTTTGCAGATCCAGGATCAAGTCTCCATTGCGCTACCTCATTGGGTGGGTTGGGCCAGTCACCACCTTGCCATCTGAAATACCTCACAAGATTATTGTTGTGTAGAATACAGGGGATGAAGAATTGCCTCTTATGTGACCTGGAGCTGACTGGGAGGAGATTAGTGTCACTCACTCCAGGTGTGTATTAGAGAGGGAAATTTTCCATGTGTATTGTGTTACTACACCCATGCAAATATTTCAGTTAATCACAAGTTACACCCTTTGCAGCTTGGGCCTGTGGGACAGGTCCTTGTGAACACGGCTCTAGGGAGGAGACGCCTCTTTTTCTGTCGAAGCAGAAAGCGTGCCTCAAAGGCTGTCGCTCTTCCCAGCGCACACCGCCTTCAGCCAAGTTAGAACATCAATCAGACCGTGGCTTTCTGCCAGGGAGGAAATAAGGACTGGGTGGGATTGCATTTTACAGCTCAATTTGCTAAATCTGACCCACTGCTTCTTCTTTTTTTAAAAAAAAATGGAAAAAATGTCAATAAACCAACCTTTGGTTAGTCTGGGCATTTTAAATTGCAAACTGTTGCTCTGTCTTTCCCCCCTGTCAATATTTCTGTATTTTTTTCAACCAGAAAACTGAACTTGGAGGGAGGATGACAAAGGGGCCTCCAGTCCTTGCCGGCTTCCCTTCTTGCAGCTTAAGCACTGCCTCCCTGCAATGCATTGCACAGGTGTCCTCCCCACCTCCATGCTTCAAGGATCTTGTCTCCCCACCAACACCTTGCAACGTTCTGCAAGAGTATATGACTCTCGACTTCAAAGCAAGCCCTTGTGTTTTAAATTAAATTTTCAGAGGCAGAAGACTGCTTCGGGGAAGAGGTAGGTTCTGAAGGATTGCTAGGGTGTTGGCGAAAGTCTACGGAATTAGCATGCCTCTCCACCTAGAGAGATGGAGAAATAAATCTCAAAGCAAGTAGTGCCACAGGCAAAGTTAAACTGATTTCTGTGTCTGAAGTAGTTTTAAAACATGATTTTTTTTTCTCTCTCTGAAATCTCAGAGAACGGGATGCTGCTCACCTGGCAAGCTGTCTTGTTAGTGATGGACCGGTTTCTAGCCAATCAGTGCTGTACACAGCCAGTTTCTGCTAAGTATCACTAGCACCTGCTTCTGAAGTACCCCATAGATCCTTGTCTAAAGAGCTGAGTAGAGAACCTTCAGCAATAAACGTCCAGGATCTGCCAGTTACTCATGGGAAGCAATGACTTAACAACCAAAACATGACTTGTAATGTCCCCCTTCAAGTGATACAGGCATCCTTTCCCTGGTACCGCAGAGAATATGGAAATATGGAAGTCAAATGTCAGTTACTGAATAGGAGATGATGGTATGTCCAATGTCCCATTGTTTGGCTAATATTCAACATTGAAATCTGTATTCCTGGGGACGTATTGGATTTCATTTGTACTGAACAACAACATTGTTTGATGGCTTGCCCCTGCTTGAAGAGACTAAAGCAAAATGCTTACCCAGCATAGTAAATGTATCAGAGACTGGCGTTGACTTTTCATTCTCAGCTCTTGAGTCTGGCAAGGGACGGCAGAGAGCCCACGAGACCATTACGCCAAAGTAGGCTCCGAATAAGTGGACGTGCATCAGACTTGTGTAACTTCCAATCTGTGGGTGACAAAAAGAGATCAATTTTAGCCAGGATAGGACACAGTGAGAAGAGTCACTCTGATAAAAAGAAGTGATTCAGTCCCATCATTTGTTACAATAGTTAAAAAGTAATTTGTGCCAGTGTTCGTTGCCATGTGTGGAAAGTAACTCGCTGCATTATACAGTCCGTTCATCGTTGCTTTTATGTTACTTCTCTATTTTTTTCCCTTGGTGAGGGGAAAAAGCTCCTTGATTGATAGGGGATAAAACCTAAAAAATTATTGTCAAAATGTATCTGGAAATGCCTAAAAAAAAAGACTTTTAAAGGGTAACTTCTACAAGTAATTGGAATAGAGTAGTAATTGTATGTTACACCAATAAAGTGCCTTCATTCCCATGTACGGTGGTGCCTCGCAAGACAAATGCCTCGCAGGAAAAAAAACCCGCAAGACGAATGTTGTTTTCCATCGCTATGGTGCCTCGCAAGACAAATGCCTCGCAGGAAAAAACCCCCGCAAGACGAATGTTTTTTTTCCATCGCTATGGTGCCTTGCAAGACCGCTTCTTCTATGGCCATGCTTCGCAAGACTTTTTTTTTTTGAGACCGATGCCTCGCAAGCCAAAAAAAAAATTCATTCATCTTTCGAGGTTCCCATAGGAATGCATTGCAATGCATTCCTATGGGAAGCCACTTTCCGCAAGACGATTTTTTCGCAAGACAGCGCTTCTCGCGGAACGAATTACATTCGTCTTGCGAGGCACCACTGTATTTATATTTCTTTTCGACATGCAACTTCACTATAGGCTTCTGAAACCCTTCAGTACAGGACGTACTCTGTGCTATTGTGCGAGCTGGTGAGGGAACAGCGGTTATTAAGCCGTGAATTGAGTCCAAATCATTGAAAACAAAACCTGAGTTGAGTCCAAGTCGAGTCAGCGGTGCAACTTAATTCCGACTTGACAGTGAGTCACCTGACTTGAGTCGCGATCTCTGTTTTGGACTGGAACACCCAGTTGTAGATAAGTGCATGGGCCTACAGGAACGTTAAGGCTAGGTCATGAGCCTAATAATATGGAGCCCACAGCTTAGGAAAAATTACCTTCTTTTTTAAACTGCAGTTGTTAGAACCCCAGGCAGGATTCTGGGAATATCAATGCCAAAACAAAACAAAACAAATCAACAGTGACAAAAACGACAACAACATTCACTTTCACACCATGTCGGAAAGGTTGATCTTTACCTGCAGGACACTCACGGCGACCCATCGGTTCACAGCAAAAAGCGTCGCCTCCACCCAGGCCATCCAGATCAACTGAATCAGGTTAACTTTGCCAAGGACCGCTCCAGTGGAAATCATCACTGCGGCTGTGCTCATGACGGCTTCTGTGATTCTTCAAGGAAGCAAGGAAAAGAGACAGACGCACATAGAGTCATTGGTGCCCCTGTGGAACCTAGAAGGAAATATAACTAAGGACGTACATGAGAGAGTGAATAGGGAAAGGAGCTAAGAGGTTTACAAATAATATTTTAAAATGCCTGTGTAGACTTTCACGGATCTCCACTTACCGTACTTTTCTGTATATAAGACTATACTTTTTTCTAAATTGACATCAGCTAACTTGGTTAATCTCCTACAGACAGGCATGGCGCCCCCTCCCATCCCAAAAATATTTTCATCTCCTGTTTTGAAATATTTCAGGAACCTGGACATCGGGGGGGAGGGGGTTAAAAAAAACCCCAAAAACTATCTTGACAACAAGACACAAGTCAAAAATGAATAAACAGAAACTAATCATCCTATTTGAGATTTTTAAACACAACCAAAACCAGGAGGTCTGTCACTTTTTGGAAATCCCATTCCTTTGATCTGTATAACAGGCCACCATTTCATAAAACCGTCTAACTCAGTTACTAAGAAATCTTTCAGATATACCGTATTTTTCCGCATATAAGACTATACTTTTGTCTAAAATCTTTAGACTAAAAATTGAGGGTCATCTTATACACGGAAGTAAGCTGAGTAGAGAACAAAAAGAAGTGGAGGGGAAAGCAGGGATCAAAGTGATCCTGCAGCGCTTTGATCCCTTTGCCCCCTACACTTGCTAAGTCCCACTTAGATTTCTTAATTTTGGATTAGAAAAGTGGGGGGGTGTCTTATACATGGGGCGTCTTATACACAGAAAAATACGGTATTGTCGAGATGACCAGATAGGCGGGGTATGTATAAATAAATAAATAAATAAATAAATAAATAAATAAATAAATAAATAAATAAATGATGGTTCTCTTGTACAAAAATGCAATGTCGGACACCATTGTTCTGCTCATCAGCTTACAATATAAAGTGTGTCATGAAGAAGGAAGACGGGAAAAGGGCTCCTGAGCTTTAGCTGGGACACCGCGTTAGCACAACTGTCTCCCTCCTGGAGCTTAGATTCGATGGTCTTTTAGGCATCTTCCAAGTCCATGATTCTATGATTCTAAACAATTTGAGCAAACGGGTGGCTAGGCAGTTCTCCCACTGCTCATTGACTGATTGATCGGTACGTCTCTCCCACACTGTCATAACCAATTCTGCCACTCAGCTGGCTTCCCCAACTAGAAGTGGGATGAGGAGAAAATTGCCCACAGCAGTCAGTCCCCTCCTATAAGTTTCCCTCACTTGACCACTACAAATGCCACCCACTTTCCCCGTTTGCCTCCTCAAACAGAGTTTCAGAAACACAGATTTGTCTGTGTAATATGAGACTCTCTCCACTGCATGGGACCTCAATGACATTCCCAGATGAATGGCTTGCTCCCTCTTTCCTTCCACCTAATGAAAACATGTTGGGACAGTCCAGCATCCATGAGCTTCCGGCCAAGGAAGGCAGAGGGAGAGATGCTGGTGACTCGTGCGCTCCATAATTCATGGCCCCGTGTTAGCTCAGCGTCAGTCTTGACTTGTCCGAGATATTCTGCAATCCCAAGGGACTGGCCACTTAGTGAGAGGAGGGGAAAACCATCTCTCTAGCACTAGGAGGCTGCTGGTGCCCCTCGTTCCTGAGGGTTCACCCAAGCCAAGCCCATAGTCAACAAACCACAAGTTCCTTTCTCTTTTTTTGGACCCTAGGATTTCCCATACAGCAGTGGGATTCTGAGACCTGTAGGCCAGGAAAAGAAACTTCCCCAACTCTGTCTTCCCACTGTTGCACAAGGAGCGTTGTGGATCAAGCCAGGGGTGGGATGCGGTATCTCATCCACAAAGTGGGGGAAAGGGACCTCTTCACTCAGGAGCTGTTTCTGCAGTTTCTGAGCTGCAAAGATGGGCCTTCTCAGAGTAGCGCCCTCTCCTCAGAGGCCTGGTTGGCACCAACGTTGGGTTTCTTTTCGTACCAGTTGTAAGAGCTCGGTGCTTATGATGGCTGCAGTACTTACTGGCTTATGGGTGAGAGTGTTTCAATCTATGGTTTACAACATTGCCAGCTCAGGGTCTAGTCCACATGAGCTTTGAAACTCACGGGAAGACCTTGAGCCAGTCCTCGTCACTCAGCCCTTGTCCGACCTCACGGTGTTGCTACGAGGAGGACATGGTTAAGAGGGACCCCGCCTTTCGCTGAGTGGAAGAACTGGTATTCTAGGAGATGTCTGGACATCAAACTGGGGGAATGGCTCAGGGACAAATTGCTCTCGACTTACCCAATGTTGAGCCCAGACAGAGTGGAAAGAGTTTGTTGACATCAGCCCATCCTGGGATTGTGCGGCTTGCCCAAGGCCACACAGGCTGGCTCTTTCCTCAACAGCTGCAAGTGGGGATTCAACTCCCCAACTCTGTCTCTGCAGCCAGAGACCTCACCTGCCGAGCTATCCAGCCGGAATATGGATTTGACTCCCAGAATTTCCCAAGCTTTGGCAAATTCATCAAAACAAGTGTAAACGTTCTAACGTAAAACTTGCTGCAAAGCGTGCGTGCTACCTTTGTAGGCTTATCTTTAGGTTCCCATCTGAGAAATGGAAGAGGAATTCATTTACGATCATCGTCCACTGTACACTGAGCGCAGCGAGAAGAAGGCTAAATCCTGTGGCGCTGAAGCCGAACCTCTTCAGGAAAGCCAGGAGGAAAGCAAAGCCGAGAATCACCATGACGTTGACATCCTGAAATTCTGTGTAACAGAGACATCAACGAGGCACACTGGAATAAGTGTAGAAATAAAGGAGAAACTGACTGCGCCTGTTAGTCAGAACCTGTGGACTATAACAAATGCCTTTGTTCAGACATTGGCCATCTTTCCTCGTTGAGTGCCATGTATGAAGGCTAGAGAGTATGTGTTGGTGGGCAGGGTTAGAGCCAGCAGTGGAAATAACAAGGGCCAGCCAATGGAGGCTACTGGCTAACAACTCAGGATTGGTGAATCCACTCCAGGCTTTTCTTGGACATTCCTAGTGGCCAAAACCATAGGATTGGTGAATCCATGCCAGGCTTTACTTGGGAGCTATCCAAGGTTTTGAATCCTACACACAGAACAGGTTCAGCAACTTGGATAGTTCCAACTTAGGTTCACCACCTTCACTGTGCCAGCATCCTTCCTTTTCAGCAACCTTGGGGACACATCTTAGAACTGCAGAGCTTGAAAAGTCCCTATGGATCATCATGCCGAACCCCTGCCAAGGAGGCACAGTGGGGAAGTGAACTCCCCATCTCTGGCTCTGCAGCCAGAGACCTAAACCACTGAACTCTCCAGCAATTAATATATACATTCTAACACATTTTTACAATACTCTCTCACACACAGCTTTCACACATTCACACAGTCATTACCTATCAGGGCTAAACTATATATTAACGACAATCCATCAATAGAAAAAAACCCGAAATTCTTCAAGTACCGAAAGACATTTGATTGCCACAGCAAGCGCTTTTCACATCCCCAATAATTTTGTCGCTGGCCGGATAGCTCAGTGGATTTGGCATCTGGCTTTGGAGCCAGAGATGGGCTGTTCAATTTCCCCACTGGGTCTACTTAGGAGAAGAGCCAGCCTGGGTGGCCTTGGGCAAGCTGCATAGTCCCAGGATGCCCCTAAAAGAAGGGAATGGCAAACCACTTCTGTGTATTCTCTACCTAGGAAACCCTGGTAAGGGTCACCTGAAGTTGGAACCAGCTTGATGGCAAACAATGATTATTACAATTTTGCAAATTAAATTGTTTGCTTTGTGACATTGAGAAGTAAGCAATGGTTCCTTGGGACAAGGAGACTTAGAGACACAGTCATTCACATTCACATTGATGTTGATATTCACATGCTTTTCACTATACTTTTTCTTGTGTAATTTTTACTTTTGCAGATTTTGACTACTCTGGGGCCTTAGTATGTCTTGATTCTGGGAGAAGCATCAGTGCTCACAGTGGGCTAGACAGACCACTAGTTTTGGGATTTTCTACACCTTCCTTAGTACCTTCTTTTATTTACTCCTTACACACACGCCCCAGTGATTTCACTACTTTATCTTTTACCTTCTGATTTTTGCCACCTGAACTGTCCTGTATCAACTTTCCTGCACGTTCCCTTGAGACTTCGGGAACCTGTTCCTGCAAATAAATATCTATCTATATGTCCTTCTTTCTCAATCTTTGGGCCAAAAACTGCTAAACAGCTGGGGACATAGTCAGTTTCAACTAGAGGGATGATGGAAGATGACAGTGCTGGCAATCCAGGTCTGATTCTATCATTACTAGGAAAAAAAATCCAATAACTAAGTACTGCCGTGTGTATATGAACAGAAACATTCAAATATGGAGATTGAAAAACTGACTTAAGAAATTATTCATTACAACTTCAGCTTCGCTGAATGGCAACCAAAGCAACAGTATTGCTGAATAGAACCTACAGATAAATAAATATTTTAGAAGAATCTTGGATGTCAGGAAGGCATTGCTGAACCATGCGCTGTAAGTATGAAGTGTCATGTAAAAGCACAGTTTTCTTCCAGGTTCCATTTGATTACAGCACTTAAAGGGCATTTGTGTAGAACCAATATTGTAGATATCCCTTCTGACTGGTCTTCTCTCTCCAGGCACCCAATTGCCGTCAAGAGCTGGCAATCAAATCCATCACCCCTCCCCCAGAAAAAAACAGGCTTGTCTTCGTACAAAGTTGGCTTTGAAATCAGCAAACAGCAGAGAAACCCAGACCCAGCCTGGCCATGGATAAACAGACGTCATCACACTCACCCATCCTTTTTGGACAAAGAACAGAAAAGGTGTGTCATTTACAGCCAACATAGTGTGATTTGAAATGTAAAACAGTATTTTCTCTCTCTCTTTTTTTGAAACAGAAGAGAATTTAATACTTAGGGAGGTGGCTCACGATCAGGGGAAGAGTGTCAGAGTAGAAACTGGGATTGCAGGATCAAAGTACAGGACCTTCTGTTTTAGCAGGGATGATTATGGAATCTGCCGTTCCCTCAGATTTCCCTGTTCCCTCCAAATGTAACTACAGTCCTCATAACATCAATGGGGTGGATATTCTCAGGATCAATGTAAGGGTGCAAACTGCCCCCGTTGTCATGCAAAATATATTGATGTGGGCTTGGTCTTGAAGGGGCCATTTGTTAATATGGAACAACCCCTTTTTAGGCCATTTTTGGGGGTATGGATAAGAGGACAATCACAATGAGTTCCTCTGTTTCAAAATATACCACCACCACACTGGCTTCTGGCTCTACTCCTCATAGATCAGTGGCATACCTCCTCTGTGGATAGGGTCACATGACCTGGAATGGTCGTAATCGGGAAAACACCGGACATCTGGGACTAGATGCCATTTTAAGTCCCCCCAATTATCTAGAGAATATATGCTCAGGCATTGGAGAAAACAGAAACGTTGACCCAATATCAGCTGCCCTCCATTATTGTAGAATTGTGAGAGGGTAGGGGGTCCAGGACTGGCATGGGCAGTGGCCCCTGCCGATGAACAAATAGCTTGATATAATATTTTATAAGGCCATTTCCCTTGTTTCCTTCAGAGTGTGGAAGGAGTGGTCATGTTGGCTGGTGGATTCTGAGAGTTGTTGCTCTCCACTCCAAAATATAATGTTTCCAAGTTCTGTTGCCCTCCCACATTT